TGCTTGAGAAAAGATTGCTAGATAAGTTGCAGGTGTTGGCAAAATCTAGTAACTAGAGTAGCAGCCTGTCTTTCTGTTTCACAGTTAAGGCACCGTTTTCTCATGATCATCTTCAAAAATACTTTCATACTAGCTTTACACCTAAATTATAAGTGATTAATATAACGAACGTCCCAATCTTTCATTGTATACTAATTCGAAAAAGAGTAGATTGCAGCTTGGTCTAGATCGAGCTTTGACCTTTCACGTACTTCGCACAATGTGATTTGGAATTCCAATTGGATAAAAACCTTGACCTCTAGGAGTGTGTAAGGGACTGCAAGTAAAAGTTCTAGATTTAGATTCCCATATGAGTATTTTGCAATTGAACGAAGTGGTACCAGATTACAGGCTGTCCTGCCCTTAGCAGAGTTCACAATTCGTTTGAATTTCATCACCCAAAATTCTCCCAAAACTGCGTTCTCAGCTTCATAAAATTTGTTAGTCTCGCTGGGGCTCTCATTTCAACCTTAAAAACAAGATTGTAAACCCTGTCTATTGTTTACATATTAAACTGAGGGTGAGTGAAAAAATATGCCAAATTATGGGCCAAAGGCATGGGCCTTGTTGATTTCACTCTGGGGATCCTTAGCAAAGATATTGCTTTTTGAGTTGTGACATTACCCCTCCGTAGGACATGGCATATTTGAGGTTCGCTCATTGCTCAACAACTTGGCTTGTAGGCGTATCATTGGTTTACCCTTGCCCTTGTCACCTTTGGCTTGTTGATCGATGGATCAAATTGTGCTTCAATTATGACATTGAGGTTTGACCTTGATTTAGCTTAACCCTCCCTAATATAGGGTTGTATAGTACTCCCTCTGTCTTCTAATATAAGGGATTTTGGCTTTTTCTTGCACTGTTTGACCATTCGTCTTATTCAAAAAAATTGGGAATTATTATTTTTTTTGACTTACTTTATTATCCAAAAGTATTTTAAGCACAACTTTTCGTTTTTTTATATTGTACAAATTTTTTGAATAACACGAGTGGTCAAACAGTGCAAGCAAAATGTCAAAATCCCTTATATTATGGGACGAAGGGAGTATGGGGCGAAGTCTTGTCTCCAGCTTAAGTTCATAGTATTATTTTAGCATGTTTTTTTTTTCATTTCTGTACTAACAAGATAATATGCATCAAAATAAATTACCAAAATTTTCTACACAATTGGGTAAATATGTAACCCCCCACCCGGGCGCCGCCTCTAACAAGTTGCTTTGGACTTTTTAAAGTCCACATTACATAAATTTGGTTACCTAGGTCTTTAGTAGTATAAATTTATGAAGTAACGTGAGTGCAATATTATAAAAGCTCTTATTACAGTAAACTTGAATATACCATTTTTCATATAGCCAAAACCTATATTATAAATACATTTTATGGTCAAAGTTAACTTTTGTTGACTGCTCTAAAACAACCTGTCTTTTTTTTACTCGAGAAAGTAAACTAGTCACCAATCTGTGCGTGGCACATGCACGCACATGCTATTATTGTTGATATTATAAATATTCAAATTCGTTGAGCATATTGGTTAACTTTGAAAGTGTAATTGCTTGTACCAAGACAAGGGTCTACATTAGTTACAGCTAACTGTTAGTTTCCGATTTTAGAATTAAATTAGTAAAATACTAAACTGATAATCCAAGCTCTACCATATTTATTAATTACTGGTTTCCGAATTATCAAATTAGAGTAAATATTATTATTTCTAATTGCATTTATTTGAGATATACACTCCATGATGATTTTTTAAGATAATATAAGCTTTTATCTAACTCAACCAATTATATCAATATGACATAATCGTACTTAAAAAATCAGAGTATAACCTACTATCATAAATAAATCAACGGCCAAAATTCTTTTTTAACATGTGAGATTCTACAAAGTGTCTAGTTAATACTCCCTCCATCTACTTTTGATAAGGCATATTTCCAAATCTGAAAAATTTACTTTTGATAAACATATTTCAATCCAATCACCTATTCTCTTAATGACTTTCTTAGATTTAATACGTGGCTCTCCATTCTTCTATGCAAGATTGGCTACATGGACATCGAGAAATGTAAATATTAATGAATCGCTTGTTTACAAGGAATAACGTACTCCCTCCGTCCCAATATGTAACAACCTAGAATGGGATTAGATCCATCCTAGAACTACAAATCTGTACATAGAGTATTTCTAGATTCTCTATTTTCAGATTCGTAGTCCTAGGATTGGTCTAATCTCATTCTAGGTTGCTACATATTTGGACAGAGGGAGTAGCATGTTTAAATAGATGATAAGTAGAATTACTTATTCTTGGTCATTGTGCCAAGATGAAATATAACTATCAAAAGTAGATGGATGGAGTACGTCTTTACAATCATACTAACTACTCACTCCTTCCCAAATTGATCATCATATATTTATGCATCAAGACCAAGGATAATTTAAATCGCATCAATCAAGACAACATGCACTAGCATGCACACATTCTCCCATACTGCATTAATTGTATTATAATAAAATCCGTGTCCATGCGGTTATATGATGATCAATTTGGAAAATTTTAAATTTCATTGTATGATGATCAATTTGGAAAGAAGTAATATATACTACTATCTTATCAATTTATAGCTTTATAGCTAGACTCGCCACAAATAACCGGCACTTGCTATATCCTTCCAATTAATGTGATAATTTTACCAATGAATATAGATACACTTTTCTTACTACTACTTTCAATTTTTAAGATGGTGGAAATGGAGTACTACTTTACTGGTCCCTTTTAACCGAGTAAAAAGAATACTTTTGACGAACACAAATCATCGACTAGCTTGTTGGTGCCGTAACTCATGGATGCATTCGCGGGTCTACCTAGCGCGGTATGATCATTGCAGCACATGAGCCCCCTGAACCGGTGCACAGCTCAAGCAAAAAAATTTGTACTACTAGTCGCACTATGCCCCTACACGTCTTTATTTCTTTTGCTCCCTCCTTGTTGGCCGAGGAAAAAGGTTTAAGGGAGAGGAGGGTGCTTTGTACTAGGAAATTTTGTTCCGGGGAAGAGGAGCAAGGAAAAAGTGCCTGGCACTCACGTCATAATGGCGTTGTGATGATATCAAGCGCACGCGGGACCCATATGCATCACCCATCCAGTGGTGTGGAAAATATACTGAAAGATTAGCCTTGGTAGTGCTGGGTGACTGCCACCATCATTCCCAATTCAACATCCCCCCAGCAGGATGCTCCATGATCCATCTGTCCATCCATCCATCCATCTCACCACCCACAAACACTCAGCAAAAAACACTTCACATTTTGCTCCATTAGTGGTGGTCAGCTAAAGGTGTGTAAACTACTCGAGCTATCAGCATTTTGATTGTAATAAATCGGTTCGGAGTCGTTCATACCATGCTCAAAAGATTTGAGGGAGTGATGTGTCGTAGTGGAGGATGATGATCTATTGATCTAGTAGTGTGGCTTAACCAGAAGTCGACAGCCTCACGAGCCAACGCAATGATGCGGGCACATACGAATTGGGACAAAAAAAAAGGCCGTGAAAAGGACTAGTAACACGCCGTCGTACGAGCCAACCATCCAAACAGATTAACCAACCAAACCTTTCTCCCCTGCCCAAAAAACCTTTCTAACGCCCGGCCGCCCACGAGACGACGTGAGATGGCACATTTCGGCCGGCGCGCGCAGGCGATTCTCCGTTAAAATTTTCTCGCGCAGCGGCAGCGGCAGCCTGCGGGGGGAGGAGGGACGCAATCATTCGGTCGCGCGCCTCTCGGGCGGCGCGCGCGGGGGGGAGGAGGGACGAGACGAAATCACTGCGCGGCCAGGGCACGCACACCTGCCAAAAAGCCGCGGCCACGGCCAGCGCCCGGACACAATCACGCGGCGTCAACAGAACCGTGCCCCCGCGTGCATGCACCCGCAACGCCTCCCTCTCTCGTTGGCTCGAACGGCTCACACACACAACACACAACCGTAGCAGCAGCAGCATCCGTAGCTGCGTGCGTGCGTAGTAGATAGGCGGCGTGGCGTGCATTGGCATTGGCGGTGGCGAGATGTCAATGGGGGGAAGGGAAGGGGAAAACGCAACGCATGCCCCGGGGGGGGCATCGTGCTGTTCCCTGGCGCTGGCACACGGGGCCTTTTTTCTATTGACTGTTTGGCAGGGCTGGTCGGCTTTATACTCGCAGCCGGTGGGGCTATCCTCCTCTTCTGTTGGGTTTGGGGGTCCATCTCTCCATCCATCCATTGCCGATGCGTGTACCATCACGCCTAGGTTTCGAATTGCGCCCCCGAATTGTCAAATCACAACCCTCCACTTCGGCTGCGCTTTGCCTGCCTGCTCGAGTAGGGGAGTACATTTTGATACAGCGAAAGAATCAGAATACCCTGTCATTGCGTTGCGGTCAAAATGTTGGGCAAAGTGACCCAAATTATATTAGTTGGGGAGGGGGAGGGGGGGGGGGGGTCTATGGATTTAGCAGCAATCACCGTTCCTGATAAAGTCATTGGACGGGGATAACCTAGAAATAATTTCACTTTAGTGGAGAACTTTACTTCCTTCCGAGAGATAAATCCCTTTCTAATTGCTACCCCTAGACACTCATCAAAGTATACTACTCCAGTACTACTGCTACTCGCCATTTTCAAAACAATCGAAAGCAGTACTAACCGTACCACATTATTTGTCGCTTTAAATTTTTTATAATGTTTAATTATTCATCTTATTAAAAAATTTAAAATTATTATTTATTTCGTTTATGACTTGTTTTATTATAAGAGTACTTTAAGTATGACTTATTATTTTTATATTTGTATTAATTTTTCAAATAAAATGAATGGTTAAACTTTACAAGAAAAGGCATCTATTATGGAACGGAGGTGGTAGCAGCAAGAACACGTAGGTATATGTAGGCCTGCTGAGCCCTCGAAACATTGATGCCAGATGACCACCATCGATCACGAGACACGTATGCATGCAATGTGTATACATGTGTTTCGCAGTCGTAGAGCACAAAAAGGACAGTAGTAACAAAAAGAAAACACTTTAAGCCAGAGGCAAAAAGGCAAGGGCCCCTTCTCTCTAGCTCAAGCTACACTAGCCAGCGCCGTACACGAGCCCCCCTGGCCTTTGCCTCCCTCGCCGTCTCGATCGACCACTACCCGCGGCGGCAAAAGCACACGATAAAAAGGCCCCCCTCCTCCTCGTCTCCTCCTCCGTAAAGCCATCACCCGTTTGACCGAGAGAGAGAGAACGACGTGGTGGTGGGTTGGGTGAGCTAGCGATGTGGGAAGGCGGGAGCCACGACGCCGCGGCGCAGCTGCTGCCGTGGTTCGTCGGCGAGCCGGCAGCGGCGGCGGTGGGGGGATACGGAGGGTGTGTCGACGTGGTCGGGCAGGGCGGGGTGTTCGGGTTCGGTTTCGAGGCCGCGGCGGCGCCGGTGGTAACCAGGCAGCAGCGTGGTGGCGCGGCGGCGGCGGAGGGATCATCGAGAGGCGGTGGCGGTAAGCCGGCGGTGGTGTCCGGGCTGCTCGGCAGCCTGCAGGCGGAGCTGGGGCGGGTGACGGCGAGGGAGATCATGGACGCCAAGGCGCTGGCGGCGTCGCGGAGCCACAGCGAGGCCGAGCGGCGGCGCCGGCAGCGCATCAACGGCCACCTCGCCAGGCTCCGCAGCCTCCTACCCAACACCACCAAGGTGAGCCATGCACGCCGTTGCACCCATCGATCGATCATCCATACACACGCACACAGTTGCACTCACGTACGCCATTTTGGATCATCTCTATACACTTATCGCAATATAATCCGATCTCGATTTGATTCCGGCTCGTGTCCATGGCTAAACACCAAATGAACAAGAAATGCAAGATCCATAATAGAGAAGTAATTTCCAGGGTTGCGATTTTTTTTTCTTTTTCTTGGTTATGAACTTTCTAGGATTATAATCTTGTAATTTTTCTTCTGCTCTATCAATAAAAAATATGAACGGACTTAACTTTGTCTAGTTAACGATGGGCTGGGATTAGTAGCTAGCTAGTACTAGAATAGTTTTGTGATGCTTAGTTTATATAGTACTAGTTCTTTGATTGCTTATCTAGATAAATCTGACAAGAAAAGCAAATAGCAGAAACTGAGTATTATCATCATAGATTGCCTGAAAACAATTAGTATAGTAGTAAGTTTCAGCTTTCTTCCATTTAGCTAATGGCATATATATCCTGGGAGTTGCTACTCTAATAGGATTGGGCCATCGAGCAAATATAGTACGGAGTACTAAGTGGAATGAACACATGGAGTATAACTAATCAAAGGATAAACACCACTAACCAGGTGGTGGTGGCCATTAGTTAGTGGCAAATGTGGAAGGACGACGCGGCCACTGCACGCGCGCACGCCATATGTGCTCCCGAACCCCCTGACAAGACAACAAGGGGACAAAAAATATTTCATTCGGCGAAAACGCTGCCTCTCTTGGACACTGTACACACTGTACATATGTCTGTGTGTGTGTCAGTGTGAGCGTTAGCCATACACTGTTGTGTCAGAAGCTTAGAACTCCAACCTAGCGTTCGTAAAGCTCAAAAAGACATGAGAAACGCAGTGAGAAAAGCTGCACATCGCGCCACGCCGCGCGCGTCTGTATGTCTTGGTTTGCGACGCTAGCTCACACGCGCCGATGGATCGATCATTTGGTGGCCACGGCGTGCGTGCGTGAGTGCTCGCTTGTTGATGAGCTCGTACTTACGTCAGTGGCTAGATCCAGAAAATCAATTCGTTGTTGTTGTGATACTCATAACATGTTTATCAATGTTCTAGTATGCTAATTATATTTAAATTATGGTGTTATAATATATGAATAAACAGTTTTCCTGTAGGTTTTACCGAAAATCGTCGGTGTCCTGATATGGGCCTTTCTACTGTATATCCGTCCCTGACTTACGTTTGTGGTTGTGATATTGTATGTGTGTGTGGCGTGCAGACGGACAAGGCGTCGCTGCTGGCGGAGGTGATCGAGCACGTGAAGGAGCTGAAGCGGCAGACGACGGCGATCGCGGCGGCAGCGGCGGCGGGGGATTACCACGGCAACGACGAGGACGACGACGATGCGGTGGTGGGGCGGCGGTCGGCGGCGGCGCAGCAGCTGCTGCCGACGGAGGCGGACGAGCTGGCGGTGGACGCGGCGGTGGACGCGGAAGGGAAGCTCGTGGTGCGTGCGTCGCTGTGCTGCGAGGACCGCCCCGACCTCATCCCGGACATCGCCCGGGCGCTCGCTGCGCTCCGCCTCCGCGCGCGCCGCGCCGAGATCACCACGCTCGGCGGCCGCGTCCGCAGCGTGCTCCTCATCACCGCCGACGAGCAGCAGCAGCAGCACTGCGACGACGTCGACGACGACGAGGACGGGCATCGCCTCCTTCTTCGCCACGGCATCGACGGCGCCGGCGCCGCCGCCGACGACGACGACGAGTGCGCGGCGTCTCACCGGAGGCACGAGTGCATAGCCACGGTCCAGGAGGCGCTGCGCGGCGTGATGGACCGCCGGGCGGCGGCGAGCAGCGGCGACACGTCGTCGTCCGGCGGCGCTGTCGTCGCCGGCGGCGGCGGGGGCAGCATCAAGAGGCAGCGAATGAACTACGGAGTGCACGAGCAATGCTCGGTGTAGCGTGACACACACTAGTTGCAGCTAACGTGCCGGCATTTTAGCTAGCTACCACTTTCCATGCATGGCGTCTATGACGAGAAAGTAGCAAACTTTTTAGTTATTTTTCAAGCTTTCGGGTTGGTTTTGGGAGTAGTAGTGGTCCTTTGGTATAACGAGAGCAGCTGCTTCATGGTGCGAAAGGGAAAAGTTTTATATGTCCCTTGTGTGTGTTGTTGTGCACACATGCGCGTGCTACACAAATTAATGCATGTGTGTGTGTTGGGAATGACTTGGATATGTAAGGGTGCAAAGCAGCTGGGGGCCAGCGAGTGGGTGTGTAAATCTACTGGTGGTATCTCTCTTGGGGTATATCAACGAAAGGTGGAATTAATTGGCCCGCATCGTTTTTAGATTTCCTTGTGAAGTATATATACATGGCTTATGGAACAATACATGAAAGTGTACATGGATCTCTCACACTCCAAGCAAACTAGAGTTTGTTCATGGATTTAATTAAGAGTGGATGGTATAGTTGTATATGCTCGAAACACTACTAAAAATATATCATTCCAACCGGCACCACGGGAGCAGCACTGATGAGGAGGATTCAAAGGTGTCGGTTTAAGAACGAGCACAATTCGAGCCAAGCCGACGCTTCAAAGCCAAAAAAAATATAAACCAAAAGCTGTAACAGAAAAAAAAAGACAAGTAAATATCAGAGAATCAACAAGTTCATAGATCACATAATCAAATATTCACATCAAAGAATTAACAAGTTTATAGAGAAAGATCACATAATCAAATATTCACATGAGAGAATAAAGAGGAGCCCCGGGCGGTTCGCTATGGCAACGTCACGGAGGAGCAGTACGTGGCGGTGAGGGGGGCGAGGATGGCGATGGCGCTGTGGCGCAAGAGGCGTAATTGATGGTGACAGGCGCCAGCACTCCTGCTCCCTCACCCGATGAGGACGACGGCGCCACGCTTCCTCTTGCGAGGGCGTCGTGGCGGCGGCGTGCGGCAAGGGGGGTGAGGACGGCAATGGCACTGTGGCGCAAGAGGCGTGGTTGACGGTGACGGGTATCGACACTCCTCCCACTCCCCCACCCGATGAGGACGACGATGTCACGGGGTGCCCCTGAACTGGTTTAGCCCTATCAGCGCCGCACTACCCCTTGCGACTCTATCGGCCTTGGAGGTGGAGGGGAGGAGGCGGCATGGTGAATCGTGGCTGGTGATTTGGGGAGGAGACGAGACGAGACGAGAGGAGAGGTGGGGGATGTGGTGGCTTGGGGAAGAGGAAGGAAAGGGAGAGGAGCACGGGTTGGACGAGAAAGGATAAGAAGGAAGCAAAAGGGGATAAGAAGGAAGTGAACAGACTGAGAAGATAACGACAAGAGAGCGGAAGACAGGTGTCGGTTGTATTAAAAACCGACATTTTTATCTCATATAAAGGTGTTGTTTTTTAATAGAAACCGGCACCTTTCTCTGACAAGAAATATAAGTGTCGGTTCCATTTAAAAACCGACACCAATTTGTACAGAAATGTGCTAGCTTTTGCCGCTGGCGTCCACGCGGTTGCGAGTGGGCGGAAAAAGCACTATAGGTGCTAGTTTTAGCTATTTCAACACCTATAGTGCCGTCTCCTTTGTGGTATTCTGTAGTAGTGAAAATTTGTAGAAGCCATTGTTGAAGCATTGAAGAATACTGATACGAAATCTATTTTAAACTTTTTCTTTAAACTTCTAACTTTTTTATCACATTAAAACTTTCCTACACACATAAACTTCCAACTTTTCCGTCACATCGTTCCAATTTCAACCAAACTTTTAATTTTTGCGTGAACTAAACCCACTCATATTTTTACGACTCGCTGCTCAACAAGTCCTTGTATGTACGGTACGCCGTTAGGACGTTCCAAAAATTTTTCCATGAATTAATTTTGTTATCACCATGAACAGGGGAAACGTACATAAACGAACTTTCTGCCTATCATGAGCTTATCAGCTCGTGGTTAGCCTCATCGTAGACGATAATAAAGCGTCAGCAGAACCCCAAGTGTCCAAGCAGCCCAACCAAGCAGTAGTACTCCCTCCGTTTCACAATGTAAGTCATTTTAATATTTCTCATATTAATATTATTGTTAATGAATCTATGCATATATATTTATCTAGATTCATTAGCATCAATATGTATGTGGGAAATGCTAGAATGACTTACATTCTGAAATGGAGGAAGTAGTAATAAGGTCTAGTTTAGTTCCTAAAATTTTTTCTAAAAACACCACATCAAATCTTTGGACAAATGTATGGGACATTAAATATAGATTTTAAAAAACTAATTGCACAATTAGGAGAAAAAATCATGAGACAAATCTTTTGAGCCTAATTAGTCCATGATTAACCATAAATGCTACAGTAACCTGTATGTGCTGACTGATTAATTAGGCTTAAAAGATTCGTCTCGTGGTTTCCAGAAGAGTTATAAAATTAGTTTTTTCATTCATGAACGAAAACTACTTCCGATATCCGATCAAACATTTGATGTGACACTAAAAAAAATTTCCACGAAGTAAACAGGCCCTAAGCCAAGCTGGCCGTTGAACATTGCAGCTAACCTTGCTGCTGACAACGTACTGTATCGATTCCTGCGCACGCATCATTGATTTGCTTGGCTTTGCTGGTGGTGTGGCGATCTTCGATCACTTGGCGCGAACAGAATTAAAATGTCAAAAAGAATGACAAAGACGGTGGCAAATCATGGAGCGTCGAACATAGCTGCGCACGCCGCCGACCCACTCGCCTCTGCTCCTCGTGCGTCCTTCTGTCTCACTTCTCATCAGAGAGTCACAAAAAACATTCTCCCATGACGGACCCACCGCGTCTACCACACCAGTCCACCAACACCACCACCAAAGGAAGGAAAATCCGGAAAAAAGGAGCATCTCGTTGACTTGCCGGTGAGTACGTGGGGTGGGCGGTACATTGTGCCCGTCGTTTTCTCTCGGCGCTGTCCTGCCAAGCCATATGCCATTCTCACCTCTCCACCATATCGGGTCCATGCCTCCATGGCCACTGAGCCAAACGACGGCCTGCCTACCGCGCGAGCATCATCTCGGCCCATCCACCAGCGCGGCACCGGCCGAAACAGCGGCAGGCCTCGCCACCCAAGCGGCCCACGCATCCGCACGCAGAAAATCGCGCGCATGGAACGGAGCACACGCCACGGGCCGCGCCCCAGCCGCGCGTTCAGTCCCCCTCCCTGCCTCTCTATTTATACATAGGGTATGTTGGTGTTTGAAACTCGTAGATAAAGATTAAGATTAGTTAAATTTTAATTATTATAAACTTGAAAAATATATAGAAAGTTTTCGCATGAAACACACCGTTTAGCAGTTTGAAAAGCGTGTAATGAATAACCAAATTTTCATCCAACTTTAGTTGGAGAAAATAACGGGGCCTTTGTATATATATTTTATATACATATACATATACATATAAACCTTCTATATACATTTGTAGAAATATGTATACATATACATCTACAAACTTCGTATATATAAAATACAAATTTTATATGTATAAGTATAAACAATGTATGCATATATGTAAGTTTGCATGTGAAAGTATAAATATTGTAATGTACATATAAATTTTACACGTATAAATTTGGAAACAAATTCAAAATAAAAAAGTTGAAAAAACAAAATGGGTCATAGTACCTAGCCCATGAAAAAAAATCAAGCCCAAAAAGGGAAAAAGAAACGTAGGCTAAAAACCAATCAAGATTCAACCCCAAAAAGAAAAATGCAACCGGAAAACAAGATATATGAGATCCCTCAACTTAGAAAATCGGATCACTCTGAGTCCCTAGATGGTATTCACCTCAATTTTGTCTGACGTGACGGCCGAGTCAGTGTGAGACCCACATGTTATGGTGACCGTGTCATCACCCTCTTTCTCTCCCCTCTTCCCCTTCCTCCTCTCTCTCACTCTTCTCGTCGTCTGGGCTAGCTGACCGGGGGGCGAGGCGGGAGAGGAGGGTGTTGGCAACCAGCGATAGGTGATGCAGTGGCGGTGGTTGCAGAGGTCGCAGGCGTGGAGGAGGGTGTCGGAGGCCGACAATGGGCGACGCGGCGGCGGCAGTGACGTGGAAGAAGGGGAAGCGGCGGTTGCAGGGGCCGCGTGCGCGGAGGAAAGCCGCCGTCTCGATGGCGTAGAAATTGGCAGAGTTCCGTTGGAGCCCCGCTGATCTCTTCCCCACCCTCCGTCCGGCCTGCCCAGTCGAGAAGAGTGAGACAGAGGAGGAAGGGAGAGAAGATTGGAAAGAGAGAGAGTTATGATGTGGTCACCCTGACATGTGGGGCTCATGTGGATCCCATGCTAACTCGACCGTCACATCAGATAAAACCGAGGTCAATATCATATAGGGACTCAGAGTGACCCGATTTTATAAGCTGATGATCCTATATATATATATATATATATCTATTTTTTTAGAGACGATTTTATAATTCAATGATCAGTTAAGAGATATAAGATGTACTTTTTCCATGAAAAAAATAACTAAGCCCATGTTTAATACTCCAAAGTAAAGTAGATGGATCGACAAAACCTCATCAAGGCAAAAAAAACGAAAAAAAGCAGGGTGATCACGCGCCCGGGCCATCGTCACCGGGGTAGCATAATGGGCGGGTGATCACCTTGGGCGATCAACACCCCCGTCCCTCCCCTAACACGCACACGTCTCCTCCTTTCTCCCCTTCCTGCCACACTATATATGAAATTCAAACCAATTAAAAAATATAAAAAGAAATCTAGTACACTTAAAAACATATTCATGTGAATAAACTTTATACTTATAAATATATATACAGAAATTTCGTACATATAAACTTTATGTATAGAAATATTCTATATAAAATTATATTTGAATCTAAATTCGAATTTGAACCGGGTATATAAACTTTTAACTATAAACTTTGGATGTATAAACTTTAGATAACTTTGGGTATACAAGCTTTAGATGTATAAACTTTGATGTGTAAACGTGACTTTATGTATAGAAATATTTTATACAAAAAAATATATTTGAATCCAAATTCGAATTCAAATTTGAACCTGGTATATAAACTTTTAACCTATAAACTTTGGGTATAGAAACTTTAGATGTATAAACTTAATGTGTACCAACTTTAGGTGTATAAACTTACAAAAACATAAAAGTAATGTGGTGAAAAAAAAAAGAAGGAACGTGGGGAGGGGGCTGATCGCCGCGCGTTAGCTATTCCGATCGTCACCTGGGCAAAAACAGAAAGAGCGGCCAGGGTGCTCGCGCGGCGGGTAGCCGCGCGCGAATTTAGCGAATTCGGCCGGCTGCTCCGCCCGCGAAGACGACGTGCAGTGCAGCTGCCGGGGGAGAAGAAGCGTCACTCTCACTCACATCGGCGGAG